CTGGCTAATCCTCAGTCACCTAATTACTCTGGGTGCAATAAATTATTTACTTATCATTTTGATAAATGTGTGACATAAAAATGCAGTCAAGGAATGAGAAACAAAGATCTCTAATTTGGAATACCAAACGCCGCCCACCCAAATACCTGGTAGAGAAGCATGACTGGATGACACCAATAGGTGCCATGGGGTAAGAAGTCAGCTCCACATTATCCAACTTAGGCTGCGTTAGTGCTTTCCTCAAAGCCTCCAATACAAAATGAAAAAATCTTAGCAAGTAGAATAGAAATGTGTGATGACATATGAAGGGCCAATGATAACAATCAATATACTTTCAGCTCATTGACACTGAGATCCTCATATAATATGAAATGAACACAATTATGATCTAGGCAATGCCTAAGCATTTACAAAATGAACATAGACAAATAATTAGGGGACTTGGATCCAAGCAATCAAATTTCCAGTTTCATAGGTATATATTCAATAAACCAATTCAATTAAATACAGAAACACTGCCTTCTACTCTCAGTTAGATCTCTGAGAAGGTGCAAAGATAATTATTTTCAAGTAAGATTCTTTTTTTTCTTCTTCAAAGAGGCAAAATAAGGTTATTACTAACAGTCAGCTTGTTAAAGAGGCAAAAGGGTCAGTATCTTTTGGTTTTTTTTGGGTGGGGGAGGAGGTGGGAAGAAAAGGGTACCTGCTGAGCCCGAATTCGGCCTTGCCTTTCAGCAGCACAATTGTCTAAGGAGGCCTTGAGAGATTTCTCGAGCTCTCCAATCTTGGAATCCAAATCCCTCGATTTTCTTTTCCAAAAATACACTGTTAAAGACCAAAAGAACAATTAACTACAAGAACCCAATGCAACACAAAAGGAGAAAACAAAATTTGTATACATACAAGAAAAGGCAGTGGAGGCGGAGAGAGCTGCGAGCGCAAAGGTTATGGTGGCTGTTAACCATTTTGATTCTGTGCTGTAGCCCATCGATTCTCACTGCTAAAACAACTTCTTTTGGGTTTGAAAATGCATTCACTAAACCAGAGTTGTAGGTTGAAATTATGGAACTTTCTAAGCTGCTGAGCGCTGGCTGCTGTCCAACTCTGTTTGATAAGCCGAAGGAGAGAAATGTTTTGAGTGCCTTGATTAGTTAGCACCCGCCAAGACCTATTAAACTACCTCTCCCCCAATTTTTCTAACCCTAAGTATTAGGGTAATAGTTAATTACGATTTGAGAGGATTTTGAAATACTTTTCTCATATTTTTTTAAGTGACTCTTATAGATTCTACGTTTGAATAGCAGGGTTCAAATTTTTACAGTGGGTTAGGGTTTTTGAGATTT